TTTTTTGGTGCACGAATTTAGAAGTTAGAACCAAAATATCAGTAAAATTACAAATTATAAAAATTATCCATAGCAAGAACTAAATGGCAACTTGCTTTGATAATTTCTCAAAGTTCTCCTTAAAAGCTTAAGAAAAAGGTAAATATATAGAATTTCGTAGAAAAGTAGTTATAACTTCATTCAAAACAGTTTTTCAAAGCAAATACTGTTGTTGTCTTTTTTTTTTTTTTTTTTTTTTTTTTGTACCAGGGATCAAACTCAGGACCTCACACTTGCCAGGCAAGCACTTATGCAACTGAGCCACCTCCCCGGCTAAAAGCAAACTTTAGTATTCACTAAAGTTGCAAAATTTATGTTCAACTTAAGCTGCCAGGTCTAGTAAATTATTAATGGACAACTGCAACAAAAATGGCAATAATGTGCCGTCCAGATAGCTCATTGGATTAAAGTACCTATTTAGGCAGATGCAGGGACCCGGGTTCAATCCCCAGTGTGCCATGCCAGCCTTGCCCCTGGGGCATGCTGAGATGGTGATTGAGACTGGGTGTGGCAGTGCATGCCTATAATTCCAGTGCTTTGGAAGCTGAAAAACAGTAAGGATCACTACAAGTCTGATCTGTGTAGTGAGATCCTATAGACTTTGTAGACCCTGTACTAAACACAAAAAAGGCAACAATCTAAGTTATGCCATTTAAAGATTTTTCCACTCCCACAACTACACAGATCTAATCTGTCTCGTAGCAAATCATATTTCATTCAGTATCAGCACATCTGACTGAAATCCTTCAGGGCAGAAATGATAAAAATGTAACCTTCATTTTTCATTAGACTGAATAAGTGAAGGAAAATAATTTCTACAGCACAAATATATAAAGAGGTATCAATTATCTTCAAAAAAGATGTTTTCAAAATTCAAGAATGTAACATCAATACACAAAGGTGAATATGTGCAATACAGTGACAGCAAATTAATTTATTTAGTATTTTTTCCATTCCATATCATCAGGAGGGTTGATTTCAACTTTCCTTTTACCTACATCAGACCAGTTTGTACTCAAAACTGTACCACCAGATTCCATCTGCAATAAAAAACAAAACAAAAAAAAAGCACGTTAATTTCTGGATACTATAAAACCAAAAAAGAATATGTTCCTTAAAAATGTTCTAATCTGAGTCCCAAGTATAGGGTTAGTATGTGCTTCAAATAAATTCAGAATAGTTCTCTAATTTAATCTTAAAACACTCCAGAAAGGTTAAGTTTCAAAAACTACAAAAAGGAAACTCCAGGATATTTTTGTAGGTGCATCATGACACTGCCATATTAAGTACCATGCTCTCCTCTGCTAACCAGCATATAGCTACATGTGGAAAAACACATTCAACTGAAAATGAAATGGACTCCCCCTCAAAATTACATTTTATCATTTTGCTAAAGATAGTAAAGACCAAGCAAAACAGTATCTGTTAAAACACTCTTAAGGGCTCCTACTTAAAGATCCTCTGTATATATTCAAGTTTACTCTAAAATAAAAATTTTTTAAATCAAAGTGGGCAGGAATATAGTGACCAGCACCAGCCTGGCAAGCTCCAGGTCCTGGGTTCAATTCCTGGTACAAAAAGGAAAAATCAAGGTATTGGTACAAAAAAGAAAAAACAAGGTATGTACACACATGTACACAAATTCAGTGTCTCAGTGAATTTACCTATCATCTACTGAACATACCACCCACCAACAACACTACCATACTCATAGTCATGTTCCAGGCACATAATGATGCTTTAAACAGTCACAAAATGTACATACAATACTGGCACAGTAAGATTATAATGGAGTTAAAAATTCTTATCTTCTACTATGTCTTAGCCATTGTACATTATCACATGATATATTACTTATGCCTCTATGGTGATGTTGGTCCAAAGAAACAAACAGTATTTCCAGTCATACTGAAAATATAGTACATACAATTACATATAGCACACAACACTTGGTAACAAACAGCTATTACAGATTTATACATTTACTAAATTTTTAAATTTTAACAAGGGATGGTTGGTCAAATAGCTTAGCAGATTAAAGTACCTGGTTAGGTAGACACAGGGGGCAGAGGTTCGATCCTCTGCCTGCCGTGCCAACCCCACCCCCAGGGCACCCTGAGACAGGGTGATCAAGACTGGGTGTGGTAGCACATGCCTGTAATCCCAGCTCTCTGGGAAGCTGAACACAGGTGGATCACTACCAGTCCGATCTACTAGTGTGACCCTGTAGGCCTTTACTAAAAATTACAAAAAAAAAAAAATTTATCTAGGGCTGGCAAGATAGCTCAGTGACATAAAGCACCTGCTTAAGCAAGCTTAGGCAGGCGCAGGGGACCATGGGTGATCCCCAGCACAGCATGCAGTGCCAGCCCTGCCCGAAGGGTGGGCTGAGCTGGCCAAAAAAAACTTAACTAGACTTTTAAGTAGTTTACTACAAAAGAATAGAGCACATTACACTTGCAGCAGCCGAATAGCAAAGTCATAGGCTCAGTTCTCACACAATTAATATGGTACATTAGCTGATTGACCTGTACCATATAAATACACTCAATGTTGCATAATAATGTAAATCACTGAAAGACACATTTACTACTCAGAACCTGTCTCCTTTTAAAGTAACTCACAACTACATACTGAAAAACAAAACACTTCTGGGCATTTGTTGGCTTGATGAAATGAAAACTCATTTTCTGAATTAAATTACAGCAAAGAAAATGTGATTAGGACTTAAATATTTTTGCAGTGTTACTATCAAATACAAAATATTATCTACTCTATTTTGTGTGTGTGTGTGGTACCAGGGATCAAACCCAAGACCTTGCACTTGCCAGGCAAGTGCTTATTCCGCTGAGCTATTACCCTGGCCCTACCTACTCTACTCTTACATTATTTCAATGTCATCCTGAGTTCTCTGTCAAACTCCCTCACATGAGTTTCTCGGCATTGGATGCTCTGTGATTCTTTACATTCTTTATTCTCTAAACAGCAAATGTCACCATGTTTCAGTAGCCTTCTTTGACCCTCAGATCAGGACTCTATACTCTTATGTTATGTCTAATCATAGTTACTATTAAAATGGTATGTATCACACTGCACTGTTGCAATTTAAGAGGTTGTCTTCTTATATCCACTTGCTATCCTTGACAGGAACTGGAGAGCTCTTCAAGGAATATATCTTCCTATAATCTTTTGGTATCCATGGAAGATGGGTTCAAGGCACTGCCATTCCATACCAAAATCTGCAAGGACTCCAGTTGCTCACATAAATTAGTATAGTACCTACATACAGCCTATGACTATCCTCCCATATACCCTTAAGTCATCTCTAGAGTATGTATAATACCTAAAACATAAATGTTACATAATTACTATACTGATCAAAGAATGACAAGAAAAACAAACTGTTCTTCTGTCTGCTCAATACATATCCAATTTTCCCCCTAATATTTTAGATGCACAACTGGTTGAATTTGTGAATACAGAACCTATAGGTAAATGTATATTATAGTTCTAAGCAGAGTGCCGTGGTATATGGTAGGCATCAAATAAAATTAGTGAATTAAATGTAGCAATACTACATAGTAAAACATCTTTCAGAAGGCCTTTCGTTAAACTGAGCGGCTATATTCATTATTAACACTAGTTTTCTCTATGGTAGGCATCAAATTAGTGAATTAAATGTGACTGTTAGTTGAATGGCAAGGGTGAGGAACTTTGCTTTGAGGAGAAAGCTGCAGAGCCCCATGTTCCAGAATGGAGGCAGCGGCCACACCAGATTCCAGAATGGAGGCAGCGGCCACACCAGATTCCAGAATGGAGGCGGCGGCCACATCAGATTGCAAAATGGCGCTGACATAGAAAATTTGTTTCTCAGAATCAGAATCAGAATGCTCAGCAATCCAGGCACTAGACCCATACAGCCAAGAGAGAGGAAACCCTGGCTTCTGCTCCAGCTGGCAGCAGCCCTTGGCATCATCCATGTAGCCTTGGTGGTTGTAGGTGCATGAGGAATGCAGGTGTTCTGAGGTTCAGAAGGCTTCCGCCCAGATTTCAGATGACAGCCTGGGAAGCCAGGCACTGTGCCCCTGAGAGAGCAGTGTGTGAAGCTGTGAATGAAAAGCCTACTCAGTGGAAACCTCAGAAGTTTGAAAAAGCCAGGAATGTGGATGGTCTAAGAAAAGCTGCAAAAAGAGAGCAAAGCAGGCCTGAGAGAAAAGCCATAGGAGCTACCCCCAGAAGTGACTTAGGGGAGGAGCCACGTAAGGTTCACTACTCATCACAGGGTGCTTTGAATGGTCCACAGGGAACTACAGGACTTAACATTTGCCCTTCTGGACTTTGGCCTTGTTTTGGTCCCAACTGTTTGTATCCAGCTGTATACACCTTTTGGAATGCCAATGTTTATCTTGTGCCTGTGAATGTTAGAAGTGTTTTTCATTTGTAGAGGGGCTTATTTACAACTAAGAGTTTGCCTTAGATCTTGGAAGCTTGTGACTTGGACTTTTCAGTGTTGCTGAAACTGGTAGGACTTTGGCAACTCTTAGAGATGGACTAAAATGTTTTTTGCATAAACAGTTGTGCATGAGTCTTTGGAAGGCCAGGGGTAACATGTCATGGTTCTAATGTAATGCAATGTTCAATTTGTAAAATGTGTGTAAGCAAGTCTGTGTACCTGGAAATTGGCTTTAAAAAGTAAATGTCTAGTTGCCAAGTTGACAAGGGGTGGATTGTGTTAGTTGATACATTATGTCAACTTGGCTGAATCAGCTCCAGCAGTTCTCAGCATGGGGGCCTAGCCTGGCAGATGGGCAGGGCCCAGGAATTGAGAAAGGCAGGAAGCTGCCCTGCCTGGTTTCCTGCTGCCCTCCCCGCCTTCGCAGGGAAGTCTGTCTTTGGAGGAGCTTGACTTTTGCAGCCGGGGGCCACTTTGGAGGAGCTCCAATCTCCACTGTGGAGCGCTGGTCTTTGCAGTCAGCTCTGAAGGAAGAGAAAGGCTTGATGGACGCCACCACAGCTGCTGCTCCTCCTCTGCTCTTCACTGTTTTCTGCCGCATGAACTGCTGTTGTTTGCCTTGGAGCCAGCAGAATATGGACTGAACCCTCCAGTAACTGTGAGCTAAATAAACCTTTCCTTCCTTCATTTTGAGTGTCAGGTATTTGTCCCAGCAAGGAGTAAAAAGTAACCAAGACAGTGACAATTACATAATAAAACATCCTTCAGTTATAAACTGAAAGGTTATATTCATTGATAACACTATTTTTCCCTCTATCTCCTCATATAGTATAATTTTAGCATTTTTTCCTCTTTTGTATATGTTTTTCTTATCTAAAGTAGACTGTGAGATCACAGAGTCTATTTTGTTTTCTCAAAGACAAAAGCCAGCCCATGGTATGTTCTTTTCCAGAAAACAGAAGCAAGCCATGGTAAAGTCAGTATTTCTACACACATAGCTTATTTTATGAGTATGTACAGTTCACCTGCAATCATCAAAGTTTCCATATGAAAACCAATTCAGACTCTGCAATGCATTTTAGATTTAACATGTTGTTACTTTGTTAGCACACTTTTAGAGGTCAACAGTAGGTCTTTCCTTTTGGAACAACTGAGTAGATATGTTTTTCTTATCTACTCAGTCAACACCAAATAATCTAAAAAGGTATACAGTGATGAACGGTTATTAAAATCTCTGAGCTCTAGGTCTAATTCAGGTAGTATACATGCCGCCCTAGCAAGACTGAATTTTCCTAATCAGCAAAGAAATTATTAAATGAATGTATAATTAATGCACACCTTCTAGTAGCCAAATATTTGGGGCAATCATTCTAGAACGTAAAAAATAGAAACTCATTCAGCTACTATGACAGATTCAACGAAGATAACTCCCTTATGAGTCACTAATTCCCATATAAATCACTATACCATTGGTATTTCTTATCTTTCCAACTTCAAACTCATTAAACATCAAAATACTATGTATGAGAATAAGCCACTCGTTTTTCATCTTTTCAGTCAATTTTCAATACTATTTCTTTTTAGGGGGAGTATGTGATGAGTTACAAAGTTATATGTAAATAATTTACTGTGCTTACCTCTCTGTAATCCTACTTCCTTATGAAACCACAAGGAGGCACAATGTACCTTAGAAAAGCCAACAATAGATAAAAAATGTGCTCACATAAGTCAAAGTGAAGGTCAGCTTGTTCCGGGTTGTAAAAAATGACAAGGTTGTTTGCCAAACAGGATGTGGTTTTTAGCTTTTAAACCTTTTTACTTCTAAGGTTCGTCGCCGTTTTTGTCCTCTCCTGCGTGAGTATGGTCAAGTGGTCCTAGGTCCGGTAATAAAGGCTCATACTTAAATTTTATTTTTTGGATTCTAGTCTGGTTTCTATGTTGAATATCCATAATGGAGTACAAGACACTGAATTCGGGACCATGGCACTGAGGTACGTCCCTAGACCTTTTTTTTGAAATAGGGCCTTGCTAAATCACCCAGGCTGGGCTCAAACATGTTATCCTCCAGAATTCTGGGATTATAGTCATATATTCCAACTTCTTCTGCAATTACTCTAAGTTTACAAAAAGTAAAAAATGTTCAGACAAAGCCTTTTCAAAAAGGTCTCTTGGCTATAATATATATATAATTTGACCTCAAATTACCTATTTATACTTTCTTTAAACATCTGAAATTCACTACTAGAATATTAAAAATAAACCTTATGTTCTTACAAATGATTTGTTCATGGCACGTTTGACTTCATCAGAGCCATCTGAATAGATCTGCTGAAATAACTTGTTTAAAGCTGCATCTCCCTCCAGCTTCTCATTCTTCTCTTCTTCTTTGATCTCACCAACCAATTTATCCCAATTTCTTGTATAATGAGACGAAGATGGATATAAGTTCTTTACATCTAAGAAGTGAAAATGTCAGAGGCAATTAATCAACATATTTTGATTACATCAATAATAAACTTTGTAACCATAGTGCACAAAACAGCCTACCAGCCAAATGAGTAGAAATTTCATGTCTGCAATAAGTCTTTTTGATACACAAATAACTTAGATTTACAATTCTAAAAGCCAAATCAGCATAATTTAAATTCCATGACTTCCTCTTTGAGTAAAATAACTCAAACCATAACTATAACTCCTTATACATTACATAAGACTATACAGAAACAGATTTCTGGGGCCAGGGAGATGGCTCAATGGAATAAGCACTTCCTTGGCAAGAGGAAGGGCCCAAGTTCAATCATCGGTCCCCCCCAAAAAAAAGAAACAGATTTCTTATATTAGTAACACAGGACACTAGATGAATACAGAAACTTTCATATTTTAAAAAAATTATAAAGATGAAACACAAAACAAGATGACAAAATACAAATTTTTAAAAGAATGCTTCATGAAATTTCTCTTGTAAATATTTTAATGCTAAAAATGTAGCTTTCTGAGGTACTTTTTTCTTCCTGTATTTTCTAAGAGTTTTGTTTTGTTTATTTTTTTTATTTTTATTTTTTTCCTGGAACCGGGGATTTAACTCAGGCCCTTGAGTTTGCCAGGGAAGCGCTTATTCTACTGAGCCATCTCCCCGGCCCCTTTCTTCCTGTATTTTAGGGAAGGGTCTACAGGGGGTTCAGGATCTCACTACTAGATCGGACTCGTAGTGATCTGCCTGTTTACAGCCTCCCAAGAGCTGGGACTAAAAGTGTGCCACTACACCCAGTCTCAATGTCTGTCTCAGCGCATCCTGGGGCAGGGCCAGCACAGCAGGCCCAGGAATTGAACCCTGGGTCCCTGTGCCTGCTTGCAGACGCTTTAATCCATTGAGCTATTTGGCCAGCCCTCTGAGGTACTTGTAAGTTCTCTTTCTGAAGAGAAAAAAAATTGAAAATATAATCACCCATGCCATATCACAAGACTCTACCTCTATCCATATTCAAAAGAAAGGCTACTTTGTATTCATTACAGAGAAACTTTACTATATTTAAGTATCTTATCTTAGAAATATAAATAATGCAAGTAGAAAGAATACTCAGTACTATTTAATTTCAACTACTCAACACAGTATGAATTTAAAAGTTTGTCAAGGCTAGAAAACAAACCTGCTAGGAACTGTCTGGATGTGGGCACATCTCCTTGTCCCTCTAGCTTTTCCCATCTTACAGCCTCTGTCTTTTTCATTTTAATTTCAATCTGGAGGAAACACCAAATAATATCCATTATCTAATGTGAAATACATAAAACAGGGAAAATGCAATTTTCTTAAATCATCGAAGTTTTATTAAGAAAAGTGTTTTTGACAGTTTGCTTGAATAAGGTTAATTTTTTTATCTTTTATTTATTTATTTGGTACAGGGTCTTGTTACGCAGCTCAAACTCATATTGAGAATCCTCTTGTTTCAGCCTCCCCAGAGCTGGGATTACAGGCATGTGCAACCATGCCCAGGTTCTGGTGGCTAGGGAATCAAACCCAGGTCCTTGCACTTGCCAGGCAGGTGCGTAGGCCACCAAGCAATCTCCCCAGCCCTATATAAGGTTCAATTTGAAGAATTATGAAACATTTATTTTGTTTTTGTTAAAATTCACCATTCAAAAAACATAACCATTATATACACTAAAGTTTTCTTAAAAATTTTTATTTTTATTAGTACATGTTTTACATAATGATTACATTAATCATGGGGAGTTGGTACATGCACATAGTACATCTTAATTATTCCTACATCCCCTCACCCTGCCTGCTCCATCTCTTTGTCCTAGTCCCATTTACAAAACAAAACCCAAAAGCTTATTTTTCTTCTAAAGCAATACTCTCTATGTCTTAGACACTGCTGCTTAAAGGCTGACACATATCAATAAAGACCAAACGATGCCACTAGACATCCTGCAATGCAGATAAACCCCTAAAACAAAACTGTCCCTCCCAAATGTCGTAACATCAGCACTGAGAAAGCCTGTTCAATAAGATTCACATGTAATTTAATGTGCTTTAGAGTAATCTGTTCTACTGTACAAAAATAACTAATGCTAATAGTTTTACAATTCAACAAAATAATGGCATATTAAAAGTACCTTTTTGAAATGCTTGGAACGAGACCCAGTCCTAGCCCGGTCCCGTGAATGTGTGGAGAGCTTCCTGCTACCCTGCGCCGGCGGGACCAGTCCCAGCCCAGGCGCAGCATAGGCAGGACCCTCTCCCACCCCCTCGGGCCGTTCCCCACCACTCCACCTTACCTCCCCCACCCCTCCCGCTGAGTAGGAATTTCTGCCGAGTTCCAGGAACCCCCAGACCCAATCCTAGCCCAGGTCCGCAGCGGGAAGGAGCTGAGCACAGCAGCCATACCTAAACAACTAAAAAATACCACGACCCCAAAATTTAAAGACCCAACCCAGAAATGGGCATCCGAGATGAACACACACTTCTCAGAGGAAGAAATTAAAGAAGCGAATAAATATATGAAAAAATGCTCCACATCACTAGCCATTCGTGTAATGCAAATTAAAACAACATTAAGATATCATCTCACCCCAGAAGGAATGGCTATCATAAAGAAATCAAGCAACAACAATTGTTGTAGAGCCTGTGGCGAAAAAGGAACCCTTCTCCACTGCTGGTGGGAATGTAGACTGGTGCAACCGTTACAGAAATCAGTGTGGAGACTCCTTAAAAAAGTTGGACTGGATATCCCATTTCAACCAGCTATTCTGCTACTGGGAATTTTCCTGGAGGATCTAAAAACATCATAACATAGGGATTTATGTGTGCCTATGTTTATAGCAGCACAATTTGTGATAGCCAAATCTTGGAAACAACCAAGATGCCCATCACTTGAGGAATGGTTGAAAAAGATGTGGTATTTTTACACAATGGAGTATTACTCAGCTATAAAGAACGATAAACTAGAAGCCTTTCTATTGAAGTGGATGCCACTTGAAGATATACTCATACGTGAAATAAACCAGACACACATGTGTAAATATCCTAGTTTCCCTAGTATAAGAACTCAAAAGAAGAAATACAAATGGAAAGGTATAATATAAGTAAAAGGAAAGCAAGATCTCAAGGACTAAGAGAAGGAAAGAAGAAGAGTTAGGAAACATGACAATGACAAGCCATAGTGTTATATGTACAAGATGGGCAAGGCAATGATCCTGAGAATCTTCAGAAGATTTTTTAATCTAGCAGTTAATTGGAAAGATTCTCACCCAGACTAACTATATATATCGATACCTGTGATCTAAGTAACTGCACTGAAGATGGTAATCTGTAATAGTAGTTTCATGCTTGAAGTGCCTGTCATTCTGGTCTTCTGAATACAGGCTGCTTATCATGACATGCCAGTTGCTGCTGTGCTGTCTCTCAGGTAGGTCAATGTTCAAAAAGGGGGTGGTGAATGAAGGCAAGAGACAGAAAAAGGAATGTTGTGGGGCTGTCCTGCTTCAAGGTTGTACATGGTTTGATTTTTGGACTTATGTGTAAACACAAGAATTACATAATTCTAATTTTTGTTTTTGTTTTTGTTTTGCGGAACCAGGGATTGAACTCAGGCCCTTGCACTTGTCAGGGAAGCGCTTATTCTACTGAGCCATTTCCCCAGCCCCTATATTCTAATTTTTAAATGTTTTTTCATCATATTCTGTAGGGACTTAAAGATCAACATATCAATACCTGATGAACAATACCTGTTCCATGTTATGCCTAAGATGTTTGATATTCACACAGATAGTGAGTTTAAGCTTAACAGCCTAGCTTGTATGGTAATAACAATAAGCTTGTCTTCTGGAGGGTTAACAACCCATGTTTGCAGACCAAAATTAGATAAAAAGGAGGGCTGCAAGGAAAGCCAACATTTTGGTCCTAGCCTTCCAAGGTCAATTAAGACTCAGGACATATGAGAACTTGTACTGTAAGTCACGTAACTCGGTAGTATCCCAAATTTTCTGATCAAAGAGATTATGGGGCCAAAGAGAAAAGTGATCGATGATGTAGAGCATGCCTAAGGGAGTCACACGGAGAGAAAACATTCTCTCAGGCTTTCACAGAGAGTACACTGGCCAAGCAATGGCCGTGACTCATCCACATGGCTGACACTGACAAAGGTTCT